AACATCTCTTGTACAGTATTCCATATAGGCTCAATTGCTCTTTTCTACATGCTCCTTGTGCTTTACTGAGGCTAAATCGTTTTTTCTTCTTTTTAGAGATATTTTTGCTGTAGGGTGCATATGCTTGCTGGAGAGACAGAAAGTAAGAAATGACTCTCCAAAGGAGGGTGGCCATGCCACAATCCCTTCTCCTCTATTCTCCTCTCAGGATTTTGGTCTCCTTCATATATTTCTTTTAAACTATGGAATCTCCCAATCAGGGATCAGCAGAGGGCATAATGATTTTGTTGTTGGACTCCTATATAGCTGACCACAGTTCAAGTCCTGGACCCAGTGCTTAAAACTCACATTGGGCACATGTGAGTGCATGCCCAAAAATCCCCGGAGGAGAATGGAGAAGTCACTGTGACATGGCCACCCCCGTGGGGGGGGGTGATTTCTCGCAGTCTCTATCTCTCTCTGGTGAGTCCATGAGCCCTACAGCAAAAATCGTGAGTCCATGAGTCCTACAGCAAAAATCTCTCAATAAAAAGAAAAAAGAAAAAAAAAAAAGGGACAGAAAGCAATAAATCACCCCCCATTGGGGATGGTCATGCTGCAGTCCTTTCTCCTCCATTTTCCTTTCGGGATTTTGGGCACCTAACATGAGTTTTAAGCCACTGGGTCTGGGCCTCGAACCGTGGTCAACAACAGGGAAGTCCAGCGACGTAACCATTACGCCATCCACTGGTCCTCTTCATATTTCTTATTAATTATAGAATCTTCCAATCAAGGACAGGCAGATGCTGTAATGATTATACTGCTGGATTCTCACATAGGTGACTGCGGTTCGAGTCTTAGACCCGGTGGCTTGAAATTCAGGTGCATGTGCACGTGTGCTCAAAATCCCAAAAGGAGAATGAAGAAGGGACTGTGGTGTGGCCATTTCCCCTGGGAGGGGATTTCTTGCTTTCTGTCTCTTGTCTCTCTGGTAAGCACACACGCTCTATAGCAAAAATCTAAAAAAAAAACCAAAAAAACAAAACAAAAAATACCCAAACCAAAAAACTCTTAATCTATGTCATGCCCCTCAGCTTTTTTTCTTTTCTTTTTTTTTTTTTTTGAGAAATGTTTGCTATAGGGTGCTTACGCTCACCAGAAAGACAGAGAGACAGAAAGCGAGAAATCACCCCCTAGGAGGATGGCACGCTGCAATCCCTTCTTCTCCATTCTCCTCTCAGGATCTTTGGCATGCGTGCAGACACGCCTAGCATGAGTTTAAGCCACTGGGTCTGGGACTTGAACTGCAGTCGACTACATGGGAGTCCAGCGACAATGCCATTATGCCAACTGCTGGCCCCATACCCCTCAGCTTTCTTAGCACCCTGCTGCGTATAGTAAATGCTTGCTGAATAAGTTAAGAATAACTAGGGCAGTGGGACCCAGCAGTTAGCGTAATGGCTATGTTGCTGGACTCCCACGTAGTCGACCGTGGTTTGCGTCCCGGACCCGGTGGCTTAAAACTCATGCCGGGTGTGTGTGCGTGCGTGCCCAAGATCCCGAGAGGAGAATGGAGGAGAAGGGATTGCAGCATGACCATCCCCCCTGGGAAGTGATTTCTCGCTTTCTGTCTCTGTGTCTCTCTCTGTCTGGCGAGTGCAAGCGCCCTATAGCAAAAATCTCTCCCCCCACCCCCCCAAAAAAAAGAATAACTAAGGCAGATGATAGCATTGTAGCAACAGTAAGGGTTGAGGCCTCAGGTGATGGCAAAACCACTTCTGGAATGACTTAAGGTAAACTGCTTATCATCTTTAAATTATAGTAGTATGATTTTGGATAACTAAAATCCTCATCAAATTTCTTGGATCACTTTCAAAACATTCCACCTTTTCAAGTTTTTAATATAAAATATTTAATATAAAAATTCACTCATGTTAATGATCTCAATCAAGTAAACATTGTCATCTACTTTAATTATAACCATCCCTACTTTAACCACAAAACTGATGAGAATTATTAAATAAAGTTGGAGGCTTAGAATAGAAGCAAAGACCCACACACAGCCACTTACTGTAATCTTAAGGAAAATCTTTTAAGGGCATAGAGGGAGGGGCAGAAGAAAACATAGGAAATGAGAGGAAAGAGCTAACAGATCTGAAAGAGGTATGTTATTTTGGCATGTTTTAGTATTTAAAGTGATACTAAATACAGACATCCAAATGGCCTACTTCTACACCAAGTGTGGAAATAAACCCCTTTAATACCATGTACCCTCTTTCAGGCAACACTGGTAACTCTTCTTCCCTCACATGTATGCTTTTACAGGAGGGGACTTCAAAAAAGTTCATAAGAAAAATAAGAAGTACAATTTTATTTTGGTTAAAAAATATTGAAATCCATAGTTATTTCATCATACAAATTTTCTGTGAACTTTCTGAAGACTTATTGTAGATGATCCTTAAAAAATACTTAATGATTAACAATGAGTACAAAGAATTGAGGGATTTAACTGTGTACTTTTCAGCCAAGATCCCAGAAATCCACATGACCTATAAAACTGGAGGTAACGGGACCAGTAGATGGCATAATAGTTATACCACTGGAGTCCCACATGGCCAACTGCAGTTCGAATCCTGGACCTGGTAGTAGTTTAAAACTCATGCAGGGCACATGTGCATGCATGCCCAAAATCCCAAGAGGAGAATGGAGAAGGGGTTGTGGTGTGGCCATTCTCCTCGGGGGAGGGGGGGTGATTTTTCACTTCTTCTCTGTCTCCCCAGTGAATGCACATACCCCATACCAAAAAATAAACAAAACTCTCAACAAACAAAAAAGAACTGGAGGTAAAAGAATTTGCCTTTTTGATGATATAAATCCATTAATTTAGTCAAATTTCTAGTAGAAAGAATGGAATATTCACTTAAACAAGTAACTAGACCTTAAATAATGTAGGAAGCTATCTCGATTTCTCACTCATTTATTAAACAAATATATCGAATACAATGTGCCATTTGCTGGGGTGATGACGATTGAAAAGGTTCCTGTTTTTAACAAGGATGATAGGCATTAAATAACTGCAAACAGATCATTTTGCAATGATGCAAAATGCCCTTGATCTTCCCAATCCATTTTTTTTTAATTGACAGCTAGAAGGGTTACCGAGAACACCAACTTGACTGACAAAGGGACTGTTTTAAGGTAATAAATGCAGGTTTCTGAGGGCCTTTAGCAATGTTACAGGAATATTCAAACTACTTAATCTTCCACTTTGATAACACATTTCAGTGTAGTTTCAAAAAAATCCTTTTAGGGTTTTCTGTTTTTGGTTTTTAATTGTCAGAAGGTGTGTGTGCTTGCCAGAAAGCCAAAGAGAGTAAGAAAGTACCACCCAGCAGGGCATGGTTACACTTTAATCCCTTCTCCTTCATTTCTCCATCCTGTTGGAATTTCAGGTATGGACACTCAACTGCTGTTTTTCCCAAGCAGTTGGGACTGAGATCTGAAATGATGCTAGCTATGTGGGATCTAGTTCTCTTAACCACTAGCTAACCCTCAAAGGGTTTTTTAAGGTTTTTGCCATAGGGTGCGTGCACTTGCCAGAGAGAGAGAGAGAGAGAGAGAGAGAGAGAGAGAGACAATGAGAAATCACCCCCTGCCCCAGGGAGTTGACCAAACTGCAATCCCTTCTCCTCAATTCTCCTTCTGGGATTTTTGGCACACATGCACATACATTTAGCATGATTTTCAAGCTGCCAGATCTGGGACTTGAACTGTGGTTAGCTATGTGGGAGTCCAAGTACCCCAAAGACCATGCCACCTGCTGGTCACAAAGGAAATCTTTAGGCCTATCTTTATCATTTTCTTTTATTTTTATTTTAAAGATTTAATTGTATTTATTTATTCATTTATTTTGAATTTGACCAGAAGAGACAGAGACACAGAGAGAGAAAGAGAAAGAGAGCAAGTGAGCAAGCAAGCCATCAACCAGATCCAGGACTCAAACAGTGATTGGCCATTTGGGAATCCAGTGCCTTAACGACCACACCACCTGCTAGCCCCTTCTCTATCATTTTCAACCCCAGACTATAACTGCATGAGATGAAATTTTAATGATATTCTTATAAATGGAATGTGGATGAGAACACAATCAGTATCTCAAATAATAGCTACAAAGATCCAATAAATATAAAAATTGACTTTTTAAAAAACAAGGCATAGTCTGAAAAACTACAAGGTGAAATTGTGATACTCAGCTGAATCATAAAATTTAGTTTGCAACAGAATTTAAGTAATTTCTCTCAAATGGAAGGGGGCGGGGAAGCAAAGAGCATTTAAAACTGAAAGTGTTCTTACTCAATTAAAGAACAAAACCAAGACAGAAAAAAACAAACAAACTGACTCATGCACTTAAATATCATTTTGGAAAACCAGTCACTAAGAACCAACAATTCAATTTTAAAATAAACATTTTTGGAGGAAGCAAGGTGAAGGGTATATGAGACCTGTTTTATTCTTGCAACTTCCAGTGAATCTAAAATTATTTTTAAAAAGTTAAAAAAAATTGCGATGTATAAATAGAGACTAAATATACTGGTCTAAAAAACAATCACTTCTTTTGGTCAGGATAGTAGAATTTGGTGGTGATTAAACAAACAAACAAAACGTTAAAATAGTGAAATGTTGAATAAAGTTTTATAGAACAGTGAGAAAGGATTTAAAGCATCAGGTTCAAGAACTGGTACTACCACCCAAAAGCCAGGTAACCTCAAACACATCACTTTTTGAACACATTACTTTTTTTTTTTGGAGATTTTCGCTATAGGGTGCATGAGCTTGTCAGAGAGATTGAAAACGAGAAATCATCCTCCAATGGCCTGTTGAAATCCCTTCTTCTCCATTCTCCTCTCAGGATTTTGGGCATGCACGCACACATACCTGGTGTGAATTTTAAGCCACCAGATCTGGGACTTGGACTGTGGTCTACTACATGGGAGTCCAGCAATGTAACCATTACGCCATCTGCTGGTCCCCCACGTCACTTAATTTCTTAAAGAATTCTCTAAAAATCAAATGAGATAGGTGAAAGTAAAAACTGTAAACTGTAAAGCCTGTACAAATGCTAGCGATTATTAATTCACATTCCCTAGCCTTAATTCCTTTTGGTAAGGACTGCCATTTATACCATGTATTCTTTCAATGGAATAAGAACACACTTTAAAAATGGTATTCAAACAAAGAAATACAGCAACTCAGTTTATTACATGCAGATTCTTCTGCACTGTTGCTAACAGTTCACTGGTCCAAAATTACTAAAATACTTAAAAAACTATACATTATGTAAACAAAACATAAATAAGACAGCATCATTCTTTGTACATATATTTAGTAGAGGTTGTTAGGGATTTAGGAATATGTACAATTTTACACCATGGACTGCATTTTCACAATGCATAAATATATATATATATTTTTTTACAGAAACAAAAATAATATTTCACTAATGACACAGAATACCATATTGTAGATACACTGCAACAGTCCAAATTCAAGAAACATGTCAATTTAAGTGTGCAAAAGGGTAGCTTACTCTAAACTAGTCAAACTTTGTTCCATTTATGTTATACAGACAGGTAAATCCTGACCATGTACTTTAAACAAAGAATCTTTGAGGACATCCTCGTATCAGTGAGTGAAATGGAACAAGTTTATTCCCTCCCCAAGAAAACAAGCCTTGTAAGCTAATGAAAAGATACATTAAAACACACACACACACACACACACACACACACACACCACACATGCACACAACCATACATACACAAACTATGTATATTATGTGTTCAACATTATAATAAAGTTAAAATTCTTATGGGAGTCAAAACAATGCCCCATTATTTAAAAACTGGCTCGTGTTGTCTAAATTCAAGATGCAGCTGTGTCAGGCTTCTCTAAGCCAGAAGATTGAAAAGCAGGGAAGACAGAGGTGGGATTTCGATTGGCAGATACAACAATCTGAGAGAGAGATGAAGAGAGTGAAGAAACCTTAGATGCTGGGGTATTTATGGTATTCAAAATGGCTCCTTCTGGGCTAACCAACAATTTTTTGACAGATGTGTCCAAATGATAAACCGAAGTACTACTTGGCAGAGGGGGATTACTGGAGCAAATGGCAGAAACCAAAGATGTCTTAGCCAAAAGAGTAGCTGGAGGAGACTTAATTACTGAAGTCAATGGTACTGTTGGTACTGGAGTTGGAACAGAAACTTTAGCAGTTGTATTTATGATTTGTGATGGTGCATGTATTATGGGTAGAGAACTCATGTTCCCAAGAGAGTTTACAATTTTTGTAGAGCTTCTCAGAGAATGTTTTGTAGGTTGCCTGCTTAAAGAATTATTTGATGCTAATGTGATCTTCTGGGCAGGGTTATCTACTGACGTAGGCTGAATGCCTTGGCCACTGTGAAGAACTAAGGGAGGTCCATATTTTGGGTTAGTAGATATCAGGAGGACATGGCTGCCAGCTCCAAGACCTTGTGGCGGAACAATAAATCGAGTTCCATTAATCATGATCTGAGTACCAGGTGCCAAAGGTGTACTGGTGTTGATGACTATTTTTTGCTGAATACAAGGTTCACTGATATGACCCCCTACTAGGCTGGTTACATTTGATGGTGCTATAGCGGTGTGAATGGCAGAGACACCTGGAGCAGAACTGTAACTGAGGGTTGATTTTACTAAAGCAGGGGACACTTGCTGGTTTGGCAGAGGAGCAAAATTGGAAATATTAACTATTTTACCTGGACTTGGTGAAAGGGATGATAATTCAGTCTGAGGTTTATTTGTGTTTACATTTGTTGGCACTGCAGTAGAAATCCCTGGTGACTGAAATTGGAGAGAAGTTCGAGATTGTTTTTTAGAAAGAGATACAGAACGTGCAGTTCCTGGTACTGTTGCTGAGTGTGGAACTGTGTTGATTATTTTAGGAGATGCAGTCACAGGTGTAGGCAAGGCAACAGTAACAGGGATTTGTAACGTTGATGCTAAACATTTAGGAGACACTGTTGGTTGTGTAGTTGAAATCAGAACAGATGATGCAAGATGTCCTGTTTTCACAGTTGATATAGCCACAGTGTTTCCGAGATTTGACGTGCAAAGTCTGTTTGACAAAATAGGCATCATTCTTGAAGAGGTATCATTTCCACTAACTAAAACAGAAGATTGTGTCCCAACTGAAGCAGAGGTTGAGGTCACTGAAAGGGAACCCAAAGACACATTTGCTCCTGTTACAGAAAACATGTTTACTGCTCTTGCTGCAGAAACCACTGATTCATTAACGGGAGAAATATTCTGACTCATAAAATTTGAGCTTACTGGAATTGAATTACCAGTTGTTGACAATGGCAAAACATAGCTCTTGCTACTTTTGTCTTCTCCTTTTGGGGTTACATTTTGCAATATGTTAATTGATGGTATGGCTGGTACAGTGCCTGATGTATTTACAATTGCTTGACCTATGTTTAGTCCAATTTTCACATCTTTTATCTGAGACACAGTTGGTGATGAATTTATTTTTATTGGTGCTCCCACTGTAGATGGAATTAGTACCAATTGGGGTTGCTCTGAAGTCTTAACATATGTTTTATTTAAGGGGGGAGGAAGAGTTTGTTTTAATGATTCTGCAACAATAGTTGGGGTTGAGGTGCCACTGGGAACTGGAGCATTTATAAAAACTAATTTCTGGGTTGAAACACCTGTAGATGTCAGTGCAGGTGTCATATTAATTGCAGTTCCACTGCCAGAAGAAAGAATAGATGGAGCAGACACCAGCATAAGTTTCTGTACTGAAGTTCCACTTATCACATCTCCATCTGTTGCTGCTGTTGCTTCCGATCTTGTAACAGGGTAACTTTTCGTGAAATAATCTACTTGTTGCTGTTTAGTTGAAGTATGAATATTTGCATTGGTTTGTCCAAAATTTCCTGTTGATATGCTAATTACATTTACTGAACTATTTGTTGTTGATGGTAGTAGAGTGCTAGAAGAAACAGAGGACTTCAAGGGAGAAGAGGGCATGTGTGAAATTTTATCTGTCATATGGCCTAAATTACCTCTGCCAGAAGACTGGCCTAATGTAAGCTTGAGATTTTTCCCCATGGATGGAGTAAAGCCAGATGGAATGGAAACAGAAGTTGGTGTTTGGCCAAAAGGTGGGAGACTAGGTGTAGCTGTTGTTCCAGTTACTGGTGAAAATGTGGAGGATGATGAAGCTGTTGATTTTGGCATCAGAAATGCCTGAAGCTGAGGAGCAAAAGTGAAAACTGAATTTGAAGATAAACTATTGGGTGAATTTTGATCTGAACTGGTCTGTACTTTTACAACTCGTTTCCACCTCGTGTTCTAACAAGAATTGACTGTGAATCTCTTATACATACAGTTTTCAGTTCTTGCTTTGCTTCAGAAGAATCACCAGTCTGTTGTGCAAAACAGTTGAGGGAATTACCAGGAGTTGTAGATCCACTTAGTGTTGTTGCTGATAACAGAGGCTGAGCTACTGAGGAACCAGTGGGTGAAGAATCAATGGGCTGGGGGAATGTGGCTGCTGAAACTGCACTCTTGACTTTTCCTGCCTCACTCAGGATAGTCTTAACTGGCTGTGTTAATAAATTACTTACAGAGGTTACAGGCAACAAAGGCTGTGGCCTAGCACTGCTCACATTTGATGAAGGTGTAATTGTCTTGTTAACAACAGTATTAGGGAGCTGGGAAGAAATAGTTCCTGTTGAGTTGACAAGAACTGATGTTAAAGAGTTTACATTTGCTGTCTGTGGGAAGGTTGAACAATGTTGTTCTATACCTTTTTGTTGAAGTGGTTCCTTTGCAACTGCTTTTCCTTCCTTGTGCTGAATCACAAAATTCTTAGGCAGAATAAGAACCTGCTGCATGATTTTCTCTCCTGTTTTAGGATCCATCACAGGTTGCATCTGAATCTTTACTGAGCTGTTGTGAAGATCTACTGGCAACCACTGGCCACAGGGCATCTTGTATACCATCTGTAAAGGACCTTTTGTACTGTTTTGGCAGGTCAATGCTGGCTTTATGGGGCTTGCTTCTGGAGGAGATACAACTGGTTTTTCCAGAGCAGGAGCACTTCTACCTGTGGAAGAGGGCAGTTGATTTGTTAAGGTCACTTTGTTCCCAATATTCTTTGCAAGCAAGGCCTGAATAGGTTTGGTCCCTTTCTGTAGAGTAGACACTGGTATTGAATCCACTGAGGCAAATGACTCCAGAAATGATGGCTCTGTACGCTTTGATTCATTCAAACAGTCAATCTGAATACCACCTTCTAAATGTTCAACTGTTGTCTCACTTGTGCTTAACTTTGCTTTCTTCCTTGGGGAAAGCTCTTTTGTGCTATCATCCAGATAACTAGTTTGTTTGGACTGTCGTTTAAGTGTTTTAGGCAGTATCTTCGGTACATCTTTAGAAGGCAATTCCTTTTTCAACAGCTTGCTTCTGGCCACAGAAAAATCTATTTCTAACAATTTCATATCATCTGAAAATAATAAAAACAAGCATTTTGTTTATATAAAACAGCAAATGAGCAGCAATGATATAAATTACAAAAAATAAAAAAATAAAAAAGTCAATCTCTGAGATGGCAATTTATTAAGAAACCCACTACAGAAGAATTTAAAAACCTCCCAATCACTGATGATGATAAAAGGTACAGCGACTACTGATAAGGTAATCTTGGTACCAGAACCATGCCTTAAAGCAACTTATTATTAAGAATATTACTTCTGATCAAATTCTGCTAATTCTGCTGCCAGTAAAAGTGCAAAAGGAAAAATTTTCATCTTTTTTTCTTTTTTTTGAGGTTTTCGCTATAGGGCGCGTGCGCTCGCCAGACAGAAAGAGACATAGAGACAGAAAGCGAGAAATCACCCCCTAGGGGGGATGGTCACGCCGCAATCCCATGCACACACACGTGCCTGGTGTGAGTTTTAAGCCACCGGGTCCGGGACGCGAACCGCGGTCGACTATGTGGGAGTCCAGCGACATAGCCATTATGCTAACTGCTGGTTCCCCAAATTTTCATCTTTTAAAGAGACACTCAAGTCAGCAATTAGGGCTTAGAATTTAATTTGGAAAAAAAAATATAGTCTAGTTCTCTTCCTCTGGAAAGGAAAACCTTGATACAAAAGATAGTTCTCCTTTTTATTCTATTTTTAGACACTCTGAAGGACAAAAAATATCCAGCTTGTTCTGATGTTTACCCTTAGAATAAAAAAAAAGTTGTTATTTGGTCAAACTGAGCTAGTGAGAAGTTACACTTTTACAATTTAGCAAAATCATAGAAAACAATAGGTCAATGTATTTCTAACCACAAACTTTCATATTAACCTATTATATAACTAAAGGAGGTTGTTAAACTAGATTTATAGAATAACATAACCTGATAATCTGAAATGAATTAGAGATAATCTAATCCACCATTCTACCTTTATTAGACTAATGTGTTCACTCTCATCTCATTAGGCCACTAACCTTGGTCATTCCTCAAAAAAAAAAAAAAAAACAAAAACCAACCAAACAAACCAAAAAAAACCCCCCAAAACCCACAATATTTGGGACTTGCCAAATTCCATTTAAAGCAAAATTCAGGAATAGTGCTTCAAAGACAGTAATAATAAAAAGAACAGAATGAACCAATTTCAAAAGGACAGACTAAGGATGTGGCATAGTCTGTATTGAACAACAACATGCTTAGAATATAGAGATAGGTATCGGCTCCAGGATACCTAGATTCTCAAAGAAACTTCTTAAAAAGACATGAACAAAACTTCTTCCAAATATATAAGATCTTCTAAGCAAGATCTTGACCAGGTTATTTTTTTGCCTTTATAATAAATGAAAACTCTGTGTGATTTAGTGTTGATTTTAAAAATGTTTTAATGCCCACCTGAATCAAAGTGATCTTTCTCCAGGATATCTAGAGGTTCTGTTGAGTCTACAGACTTACTGATTTCTACTCTAGGAGATTCTTTCTCAGTATCTCCTTCACCCTCTTCAGTAGTCCATAGTTCTCTAGTAAATTGATCATGATCAGGTTGTCTTCTGAAATCATCATAGTCTTTCTTTAGGCGACTCCTAAAATAAGATACCCAACATAACAAATAATACATATGTATTAAATTCTTAGAAATTAAACTAACCTTTAAGATTTCAAACTCTATGTTAAATTTCTTTTAAGAGAGATTATTGCTTTAGGGCACATGTGCTAACTGGAGAGACAGAGACAGAGAGATAGAAAGTGAGAAATCATTCCTGGGGGGGATGGCCATGCTGCAATCCCTTCTCCTCTGTTCTCCTCTTGGGATTTTGGGCACACACACACAGGCACCTGTTTGAAGCCAGTGGGTCCAAGACGCAAACCATGGTCGACTGTGTGGGAGTCTACCGACATTACCATTACCCAATCTACTGCCTCAATATATTGAAATACTTTAATGAATTCACTAAAAATTATGTTTTAATTTTAAGAGGGTCTAAGATGCGTACTAAGTTTGCCAAAAGATTAATTGCACAAGAAGAGGGTGAGGAATAAAAAACTTAAAAGATTTTTATCTGCTAATTTCAGAATAAGCATTTAGCATAACACCTATTTGTCTTTTCAAGGTTCTTGTTAGACTTATTAAATGAAAGATATATATTTTTTCCAACTACATTCACAGAAAAATACATTTAAACCATAAAATTACTGATTATATAAGGTCATCAGAAAAGTTATGATGCATTTTTGCATTAAAAAACATGTCATGACTTTTCCAATGACCTAATAGTAGCTTAAAAGGCCATTTAAAAAAGTTAATCAAGAAATTCTAAGCGAGGTCAGCAGATGGCATAGTGGTTACGTTGTTGGATTCCCACATGGCTTATCGTGGTTTGAGTCTCAGAGCCAGTGGCTTGAAAAATAATGCCGGGGAGAAGCCATTTTAAGGGAAGCTATGCTGTAAACTTCATCTTCTAGACTCCCAAAATATTCAGACAAGGTGGGCGACCTCTGTCCTCTCTCTGTCTCTGGCTGTCTGTCTGTCTTGCACTCTATCTTTAAATTTTTAGTTTAGTTTAGTTTTTTGTTCTTTTTTTTTTTTTTTAAATTTTCAGCCACATCTCACCTTGGGCCTTTTTTTTTCACTTGTTAATTTCAGAAGTCATTTTAAAGCCGAGGTATGTCCTGGCCCGTTCACACGGTGTGCTAGCGCGCTGCGAGGTTTTCGTTTTTTACACGTAAAAAAAATTTTTTTTCTCTTTCTTGCTAGTATTTTTTCCAATTTCTTTTCTTTTTGCTTTTATTACTTTTAACCTTACTTTCCCACTCTAAGCTTGACTCTCCACACACTGAATGTCTAGATAGGCTTAGGTGCACAGTAGTCAAGCATCTGAATACTTTTAGAGTCATTGAACTCCTCAATGCTTACTGAACCTCCTGCTTTAAGGAAGACATTTCTTTTTATAAATCTGAACTTCTAATCTCTTTCTGTGTATACCACCTTGTGAAACACAGTAGAGGAGATATTTTGTCACAAAATGACTAGAAACCACTGCAGAGGCACAAGAAACATGAGAAGCCAAGAAAATATCTCTCCCCTAAGGGAAAATAACAATCCCTCATCATCCACAGACAGTGCAGTAGAACTCACAGAAATGCCTGACAGAGAATTCAGAATACTTATAGTGACAAAACTAAACGGGATGCAAGAGGTAGGAGATAATGAACTCCAGAAGATGCAAGAGAAAGAGACAATGAGTTTCAGGAGGTGAAGTTCTTCCATGACCTGAAAGAGGAAATACACACCATAAAAAAGAATCAAATGGAGCTATTAGTGATGAAGGCTGCTATTCAGAAAATCAAAACCTCTCTTGAAAGTATTAAAAGCAGATTAGTCCATGCAGAAAAGTGAATATCGGATGTGGAAGGCAAAACCTCTGATCTAGAAAAAGAAAACACCAAAAAACCCCAGCAAATAATTAAAAAAAAAAGAGAATACTATATGAAAAATACTAGACAGCATTAAGCGCCCAAACATCCAGATAATTGGTATTCTAGACGGTGAAGAAACTAATCAGGGCATTGATAAACTATTCTATGAAATCTTGGAAGAAAACTTTCCAAATCTAGAGAAGCATTCAAATATCCAGACTCAAGAAATACAAAGAAACTCTAGTAGAATCAACTCAAGAAGATCTTAGACAAAACCTTGGACCTAGAAAAAAACTCACCAAAAAGACTGAGAAAATAACCCCCCAAAATTAGCATAATATACAAGAAATACTAGATACCATTAAGCACCCAAACATCTGGATAATTGTTATCCCAGAAGGTGAGGAAACTAATAAGGGCATTGATAATCTATTCCATAAAATTCTGGAAGAAAATTTTCCAAGCCTAGAGAGGCATTCAAATATCCAGACCCAAGAAATACAAAGGACCCCAAATAGAATCAACCCAAGAAGATCTTCTCCAAGGCACATCATAGCCAGATTGACCAAAACCACAGACAGAGACAAGATACTAAAATTGGCAAGAGAGAAACGTCAGGTTACTTACAAAGGTTCTCCCATCAGGCTAACATTTGACCTCTCCTCAGAAACAATGCAAGCAAGGAAAGAATCAGAAAATGTATTCAAAGTGTTAAGTGAAAACAATTTCAACCAAGAATACTATACCCGGCAAGATTCTCCTTCATATGGGAAGAAAAGATCAAAACATTCTCAGATCAACAAAACCTGAAAGAATGAACCAACACCAGATTAACTCTTCAAGAAATTCTGAAGGGAGAGCTATACAGGAAAACTAAAGACACACAAACAGAAATAAGAGAACAAAAAGCAACTAAGAAAATGACCAACTTAATGGTAGGGACAAATCTGGAATTACCCATAATAATATCAAGTGTTAACTTCCAGAATTTAAACGGAAAGACTGGACCACAGTAACATTGCATATTCAGCAGAAGAGAGTGTGACTGCAGAAGAGTGTGTGAACATAAGACTGAACTGGCGAAATAGAATTTTATGACTTCTGAGTAAAACATTACTGATTTTTTTTTACTATGCTTTGTTTTCCCAATTTAAGCATTTTCTTTTCTTCTGAGTTGTTGATAGGTTCAGCAAATTGTTAAAATATTTTTCTTGCTTGTTTCTTTAAATAGAAACATAAACTTTTCTTCCTTCCTGATACCTCTGGAATGGGAAAATATTTGGGAGTATTCTTATTTTTGGCATAAGGGTTATCTGTATAAGTTCAATAATGCTTGTTGCATTGAATCAGAAATTGGAAGTACTTATTGGACAGGGCTTTGACTGGAATGTCATATCTGAAGATTAATCAGAAAACTATGGAACTAAGGTGGATCTCAAGTAAGCCAACAGAAGCTCTTAGAAAGATGGCCTGGCACCATAAATAGTTTTGCCTGGCAGAGAAGTTTAGAGAAGATGTATGAAAAGAATTTGTAACATAAAATCACCTGGACTTTTCCAGCTCAGCATTGTAATCAGTAGAGACTGCAAAAGAGCAGCCACACAAGAGGATCATCTTGAGAAAGACATTGAAGGAAGAAAAAGGGACTGATTTTTGCTAGCAGATGGTATATCACAGAATACTAGGTAGGCAGGACTGAATTGAAAAAGAAGGTTTACGTGTGATTTGTGTGCTTGGGCATTTGCTTTTCAACAATTTAAGTAGTTGACGAGTAAATATTTTCTCAAAAATATTGGGAACCAGCAGTTAGCGTAATGGCTATGTTGCTGGACTCCCACGTAGTCGACCGCGGTTCGTGTCCCGGACCCGGTGGCTTAAAACTCACGCTGGGCGCGTGTGCGTGCGTGCCCAAGATCCGGAGAGAAGAATGGAGGAGAAGGGATTGCGGCGTGACCATCCCCCCTGGAGGGTGATTTCTCGCTTTCTGTCTCTATGTCTCTCTCTGTCTGTCTGGCGAGTGCACGCGCCCTACAGTGAAAATCTCTCCAAAAAAAAAAAAATTTAAAACTATATTGTCTCTGTTGTTCTAGAGTCACAAAGAAAATTATATAAAATTATAAGAAATATTTTGAACATTATCTTTAAAATTCAGTATTTTGAAGTTTTGAAAGTTGTTTATTAACTGTCAAGAACTATGGAGTATGAACAAAAATTTTTTGATAAGTAAATGTTTGTGGAAAATGTAGAAAGAAATAAAAGGAAGAAAAAAGAAAAATAATGCCAGGCATATGTACATGTGTGCCCAAGATCCTGGGAGGAGAAGGGATTGTGGTGTGGCCATTCCCCCTGGGGCGGCGGGGGGTGTGATTTCTCACTTTTCCCGTCTCTCTTTGGAGAGCACATGTACCATGTCCTAAAACAAAAACCTCTTAAAAAAAAGAAAAGAAAAGAAAAAAATTCTAAGCAACAGTATTGTTGTGACACAATAGTAACAAACAAATTCACCATTTAATTCTGGGTGTAATCATATCTAAATCTTTGGTTCTTACTAGAAATATTTTTATTTCATTAAGCCAAGAGAAGCAAAGCTGAAAAGCACTGGGTTATTGGAAATGTCGTGAGGCATTTTTGCATTGAAAAACAGAAATATTTATCATGACTTTTCTGATGACCCAATAATCTTTCGCAGAGATCCTTCTCACAGAAAAACAAAATAGCTATTTTCCTAAGAAACTATGGATAGACAGACACATTTTCAAATGATTACCCAGTATTTTAGAGATCTTTTATTATTTTCTTTGCTTTCAACTAAGTCTTCTACTCTACTCTCAACCTTAGGCTTTAGTTTCTTGTTTAAAAAATAAACCTAAACATACATTCTATTTATTTTTACTGTAAATTCTTATTTGTATACACTGAAGTTTAAGTCTTACCTCTGTCACTTATTTGTAAGACTCTGGGCAAATTCCTTGGTCTTTCTAAGCATCAGTTTACTTATACATACAATGAGGAGAGAATAGTACTCACTTTGTAGTATGTGTGGTATACTAAATTTTCAATAAATGTTAGTTAATAATTATTTTTTATTAATGTTTTAAATTATTGCTTAGGAGTTTTATGGAGCAGATAAGGGCTGTGAGATACTATAATGGGTTACCAAAGGACAGCTGTAAAATCAATTTCCCTTTCAACTCGTAAGATTGGAATGGAGAAATATCTATGTGGTAGTAGTATGAAGCTCTTTCCCCTTCCTCACTCAGTCATCTTCTCCATCTCAACTAAAGACTTTGCTTATTTCATAAACAACAAGAACATAAGAAAACTTTTATGTGCTCATATCTCATCTCCAACTTATCTTTATTAGTATTTATATTCTCTGACTTCCTGAGTTAACACTTCAATTTATATGCATTTTCCCTTGCCAATTTAAGGACATTTCTCTAACCAAAAGTATTTTCCTTTGTTTGAGTCTATTTCTTTATTCTCATTAAATCATGTCCATTAGTATACAAACATGTCATTTCTCTCATTAATAAAAGCAAGCAAACAATAAAACCCAAAACGCTCTCTTTTAACCCCAACTTCCCCTTCCAGGTACTGGTTCATTTCTCTATTCCACTTTAAAGCAAAACTCAAAAAAAGAGAACCCTTCACTCCCTTTCCCTGAATTTTCTTCAACAGATTCCTAACACTTTTACCCACTTTTTTCACCAACATAGCTTGCCAACATCATTAATGATCTTGACAAATTCAATAATAGATTCTTTAAAAAAAAATAAATAAATGCTCAAGTCAGATATATCAATAATGAGCTGTTTTTTTTTAAAAGAATTATTTTATTTAACTTTATTTATTTATTTTTAAATGTTGACCAGAGAGGGACAGAGTGAGAGAGAGACAGAAAGGAGAGTGGGAAAAAAAGCTGCCAGGTTGGGGACTCAAACCGTGGTTAGCCATGTGGGAGATCCAGCGCCCTTCACCACGCCACCTGCTGGCTCCCAGTAATAGATTTTTATTCGTCATCTTTCTCAATCCAACGTGAGTAGCCTCCTCCTTCTAAAATAATTTTATTTATTTCTTCCATGAGTGAACAAGAGTGGGGAGAGAAAAAAACCTCAACACAGTCCTGATGCCGCCATCTACCCTTAACCCTCAGTCAGTTCAGATCATGGGCAAGCATGTGTCTGGCATACTCAGGAAGATCTCTAGACTTTAACTTCTGAGTTAAAGTCTTCCCATGTGGGACTGCTTCATTTTTTACTGCTGCACCACTGTTGGCTCCTCCCTTTTGAAATTTTTCTTTACCTGGTTTCTAAGTCATCACCTCTCCTTGATTATCCTGTCTAACTGAAGTCTTTCAAAGTCTCCTCTGCAGAGTTTTACACATATCTACCATTTCTACATGTTGAATGTCCAGTTCTCTTTTTTTTTCTACCTATCCTTATATATTAGATTATTTCTACTAGTCACATGGCAATTAACATGCTGACAACTCCCAAATTTATACTTCTAGCTTAGCTGACTGCTTGAACTCAGACTTATATATTGAATAGCCTACTCAACACCAATTAGATTTTTTAAAAGCATATCTAACTTAACGTGTTGAAATCCAAACTCTTAAATCCCTCCTACTCCAGACCTGTTACTCCTTCAGCTCCCCAAATCTGTTAATGGCAGTTCCATTGTTGCAGATGTTTAAACCAAATATATTGGTCATTACCTCTTTATACTCCTTACCTTTTCTCAAAGCCCATAGCTAATCCTTAAGCAAGTTCTACCAATCATACTTTTCAAGATAAATTTGAATCAAATCACTCCTTTGCATTTGTATTGCTACTATCCTGGTCTAAGTCACTCCCATTTATTTTTTTCCTCCTGGATAATCAGTATAGTATAATTGGTTTTCTTGCTTTTGTGTTTCCTATTACCCTTAACACAGTTTTGCCCCACTACTTCAACATAGCTGCTAGAGTAAGTGGTTTAAAATGTAAGTCAGATCATGTACTGTCTTTGCTTAAAACCCTTCCGGTGGCTTCTCATCTCTCTCAGTGTAAAACACAAAGTTCTTAAACAGCTACATGATCTGGTTACCTTCCTTTTTATCTCCCTCTGTCTTTTATGTTTCTTTGCACTCATTCTGCTCTGGTTACACTTGCTCCTTTTCCATGTCCTCTAAATGCCAAACATGCTTCCAAGCTTAGGGCTTTTGTATCTTCTATTTCCTCAGCTACTCCATTAGATATGGAGGATCTAATTTCCTCAGGTCTGTTTTCAAACATCATTTCTTTAGGAAAGCTTTCCCTGATACCTTTTCCTGTACAAACAGTCATTTCCTATCCTCCTTACCCTGCTTTATCTTTCTTCACGGCACTTAGACCATCTGACATTTCAGTTTATCTGTTTCTTCCACACAATGTAAAAATAGTGGATTTGTTTAATCAACACTACTTTCAGAACTTGAAAAGTGCCTTGCATACAGTGAACATTCAAAAATATTTGAATTACAAATAAATGAAAAACTAAGTGATTTTAGGATATCTTCCAAAAAATCATATATTAAGAAATCTAAAGAGCTGGATCTATGGCTAGTGGTTAAAAGAACTGGATCCTGCATGGCTGATTATGGTTCAAGTCTTGGCCCTAATGTCTTAAAAAACACATTGGGTGCATTCATGCCCCAAATCCTGACAGGATAGAGAGATGGAAGAAAGAGGATTGCAGAGTGGCCACATCCCCTTGGGTGGTGCTTTCTCTTATCCTTTTCCTTCTCTGTCTCTCCCTGGCAAGTGTATGTGCCCTCTAGTTAAAAAAAAATATATCCTAAAATAAGTATGATAGATCATAAAGCTTGAATTACCTGTTTCTTTGAAAAGCCTTCATTAACTTTGGTTCCCATGGCAGCAATTCATTTAAAAGACGTATCAATGTACTATGCAATTCTTTTACAGCTTGCCTTCGATGATACCATTTACCCTAAAAACACAATTTTTAACAGTAAATCCCTTAGGTTTAATCTAAAAGTCAATGGTAAACCATATTTTCTTAGTAAAAAGCAAAACAAAACCCATCAAATAAGTATATCTTTTTTAGAAGGCTTGCATACAGGGGGACTAGCCTGTAATAAACTTTATTCAGTATATTTAATGTTTCTCAATTCTATAAAAGTAATTAGAGGCCAATTTCATTCAAATGGGAAACAAAACTTTAAAAAGTTTTTAACTGCTTCAATTTTAAATACTTTAATAAATTATTTACTAAGTATATGTAAATATACAAACATTAAATAAGTAAATGATATGGCTCATTTCAGTGAAGTTTTTGTAATTTTTCCCAAAGAGTGGAGGAAAAAGGAAGAAAAGTTAGGTTTGTGATAATATACAAAAGTAGTTTTAAAAAACTGCCTTAAGGAATTTTAGTTATTTTATTTGAGAATGTTTCTAGCATAGAAAAGCAATCAAAGCAGTCACAGTTTTCAATATTATAATGCTACAATAAGAGTTATAATTACTGATGTCCCCTAAATTGGCTAATTATTATACAGGTATTTCTCTCTCTCTCTCTCTCTCTCTCTCACACACACACAAATAGCTCTAGCATTTATGGAAACTATTCCGAGATAAGTACACTGCCGTGTTCACTTTACAAATGATGAAATTAAGATTTAGAGAGATTGTCTTGCTTAAAGTCCTGCAGTTAAAGTTCTATAATTTAAACTCCTATCTAAATCTGTCTGATTCTGAAGTCCAAGTACTTAAAACTATATTACTACCTCTTAAAACTATACCACATAAATTCAATCTGGCATAGGTGATAAAAACTTCTAGCAAAAATATCCTCAAGTATACATAAAATTACTTGAATACCACAGAAACAATAACATTTAGCAGTTATGCAACCTCCCTGATTCTCCGAATGTTAGTGTACACATCACCACTACCACATTTATTGTTATAGAACCAGGCTGTATGTCTTTCATAATAACTTTGAAATATGATTCACCTACTATACAATCTATGTGTTTCAAAAGACACACACATATATATTATGGATCACATTAAACATGCATAAAATTAGATTACATCCTATAGCAGCTGTTAAATGAGTCAATCTGCATATATGCAGAATATTAAGGCAGAAAAAGTAACACTATCTAGAGCAAAACATATTCTAAATGTGTGCATAAGTTTCCCAATTTTACATATATAAAATTCTCAATGCCTCATGGAAATTTTAGTCACATATAAGTCAAAATGATTAATAGTGTAGTTTAGCAAAAAGAAAAATGTGCCATTTGAAAAAATCCTTTACATCAACATGATGTTTATGCACATGAAAATAAATAGTTTTAGGGGCTAGTCAGTGGCACAGTGGTAACATAATGCTGTGTGATGCTGGACCAGTGTGGGAAGGTCCTGGGTTTGCACCTGATTTACAGACAAATGTTTACACAGATTATTAAAGGATTTTTAGTGGGGTCTTGCCATGATAGGATTCTCCCGCCTCAGCCTGCCATCTAGCTAGGACCACAGGCACACACTTCCATGCTCGACCTATTTAGCGTGGGATGGGAACTGAACAGGGACCTCCTCCTGTGGCCTTAGTCTCCAGCAGTGGCATCTTAGTAATGCGCACCACAGAGGCTGAACTTCTAAGCTACTATTTGGCACACACACACACACACACACACACACACACAAAAGATGAGAGTGAAGGCAAACTTTTCCTAAAATAAAGGAAGAGGAACAGTGAAAAATGAAGTTAAATAAAATAATCTCTTTGTGGTAGAATTGACTGGAAAAGTGCTAAAAGACTTGGGTCTACTAGGCATGCTGAATTCCTCTTTAGGAGTTACACAGAGAAAAATGGACAGCATGGTTGTTGTCTGGATTAGCATGGTGGTGATGGTGTGAGGGGTATGGACAGACTAGCTGTATTATTTTGGTTTAGGAAGATGAAGAAAGACTGTGTAAATGGATGTCATTATTTTAAGACATTTGTCAGTCGTTTTTGTCTCTGTTAAATTCTAATTATTTTTTGTAAGAACTATTCTAGAAGTATTAGGAAAATTCTACCTTTCATTTTGATTACTAATTTTTAATTAATTCCAAATCCAGAAGTACACTACCTTCTTTATAAACTATACAAGGAAAGGCTCTTAAATATTAATCAGAGAAGAGATTTCTAACTTTCATATAACTATCTTACCCACCGACCTTTTTGAAAAAGAATATATAATGGCCTTCTAACTTTATGCTTTGTGTACTTCTTTTCATCTTTATATTATATATTCTCAACTTGGAGGAGAAGTGGTATGGCATTTCATTCATAATTTGAAAATGTGTATGTAGTCATTCTGTATTTAGAAAACCAAAAAGCTTATCATTTTAATAACATAAATTATAGAAAGTAAAGATGGATGGAATGTTTTGCTTAAAAGGTACATATAAAGAATATAATAACCTCTGGGACCAGCAGTTAGCGTAATGGCTATGTTGCTGGACTCCCATGTAGTTGACCGCAGTTCACATCCTGGACCCGGTGGCTTAAAACTCACGCCGGGCGCGTGTGCGTGCGTACCCAAGATCCCAAGAGAAGAATGGAGAAGGGACTGCGGCATGGCCATCCCCCCTGGGGGGTGATTTCTCACTTTCTATCTCTCTGTCTCTGTCTGTCTGGCGAGCGCACGCGCCCTATAGCAAAAACCTCTCCAAAAAAAAAAAAAAAAGAGAATAACTTCAACAAAGAGCATCCTATACACTGCCATGGAGTAAGTGAGTCAGTTTATTTTATGTTCATCAAAAAGGGGGCATGGGGATCAGCAGTTAGCATAATGGCTATGTCGTCGGACTCCCATGTAGTCGACTGCGGTTCGTGTCCTGGACCTGGTGGCTTAAAACTCACGCCGGATGTGTGTGTGTGCGTGCCCAAGATCCTGAGAGGAGAACGGAGGAGAAGGGATTGTGGCCTGGCCATCCCCCCCACTGGGGTGGGGGGGTGACTTCTTGCTATCTCTCTGTCTCTGTCTGTCGAGCGCATGTGCCCTATAGCAAAAAGAGAGAGAGAAAAAAAAATAGAAAAAAGAAAAGGCGGGGGCATGGATTTTAAAAAGTGGAGAATCAATTCTCTGGGACTGGTATTTGAGGTAAGATGCCTGAACCAATGACATAAAAGGAGACTCACATGGCATGTTTCATGTATCATCTTCTTTGGTCAAAATAGATGCTTACAAATCAAGTGGAAATAAAATGGCATTATCCATTTCTACTTAGTTGTTGTCTCTGAGCTTCACAGAATGCAATGAAACTAATATAAAAAGTCTTTTGAATTTTTAAAGAAATCAGTCAGCAGGTGGTAACAATGTGCTTTACCTTGAGTCTAATATAAAAAAAATTCAAAATCAAACAAATACTGACACAACTTTATGGTTGTTTTTGTATGACAGAGAAAGAGAGAGGAAGAATGACCTCTTTAAAAAAAAAAAAAAGGACTTTTTGG